AACCATTACAGTTTTTTAAAGATTATTTTGATATGCTTATCTAGTATTATCTGATAAATTTTTGTTTGGTTAACTCAGACATAATATTTATTGCAGAGACTTAATAATAAGTGATATAACCAACATACATTTACCATTACATTACATTAGTTCATTTCACCTAACTCGTACAGTTTTATGCGAAATTATGATGTCAAAAATCAAGATATAAAATATGATAGTTAAATTGATATATTTTATTTAAAAATATTATATAGAGAATCTTTAAAAATTGTCGATTTGGACTATAAATAGACGTTTTTTTTTTAGAAAAGAAGACACAAGTCATTTTTTGGGAAAACTTGTACACTTGTATTATGTGTTAATTAATGATTATTGGTTTACGTGATTAGTTTATTTTTAAAAATTCAGTACAATTCTACAAGCCATCTAGTAACAAAAACGTGTAACTGTTTGGTACATATGTACGTGACCAAATTACCCATACAAAAAGAAAGAATTAACGAAAACAATTTCTGCATTCCCTAGTAAATAATAATGTTCTGTAGTAAGTTTAAAATAGATAATGGTCATTGTTCTCGGTCGTTAGATGTGATCATAGTACTAGTGACAACCTCTTTCAATAATTATTGCGTTTAAGACGTAAGCTATTAAAATGGACAATAAAATGACATAAATAAGTTATTTCCTGATTAAATGTAAAAACGATAACGATGACCAAAAAAAGGAAATTTACTAACGATATCATTTAGCAAAACACAATTAGCATTGTGCTTACAATCTGATTGCAGTATTAGTTATGCCAATGTAATTTCCGTAGTTTAATCTATAAAATATACAGAACCAAATATAAAACATTTGTTTCCGTAGGACTTGTTAACGGTGTTTTTAGATAATACAATAATAATACTACAACATCGTTGTCTTTTATTAAAATAACTATCTTTTTCTAAGATTGTCTTTGGGATTAACTTGAATAAACTTATCTTTTCTTAATACAAACCTTAGTATGTTACAATGTAAACTTGATATTTTATGAATTCATCAAAGTTATTCAATTCAAGAAACAATGGTAGTGTAATTGTTATGTAAACATTTGTGTGTGGGTGGTTCCACTATCAGTATGCACTCGTGGAAAGAGGAGTGTTACACCACTTTTATCATTTTAGATTGTGATGAATGTCACTGTCAAAAGCTACTGGAGCAAAGACAAGAGTATTATTTGCATTTTTACGTCCACTCCTTCCACTGCTCTTTACCGACAAAGTCTTTTGATGGTATTCGCTCCAGGTGATACGATCGTGAGTTTCCCGCCCCCATTGCTCAACATCACTGACCGGCGGCTACTGCGGCGATAGCAGCAACATTATCTACACAACTTGGTGTTAAAAACCTGTTTATACATTAAATATCTTCTCGGTACTCGCTTTCAGCCTCCTTAGTCCGCTCCTCATACGCCACCGCGTTCAACAGTGAAATCGTCGAGAAAATGATACAGTAAAAATGGCGCAATTTTTATGTTTCTATTTCTCTTAGCGAGTACATAGTGACCGCAACTATGTAATCTGCACACAAGCTCCATCCATGTTATATTTCCTATTCTTATTTTAATATATTTATAACTTAAATGAAGTGTACAAAGATATTTTATGTCTTGCTGAAGACATAAATTGGTAAAGAAAGAAAAGATACCAAAAATTAGTTTTTGATTAATATTATTAGCTACAAATAATGTAGTTTGTAACATTTGATAACTTTATTTGATATTTCAAA